GCTCAGAAAACAATGCGAGCCGCCGCCACCACCTCCTCCTCCTCCTCCTCCTCCTCCCGAGCGGACTGAAAGCAGCTGGGGCTAAGGAAACGAAGCCACCTCAGCTTGCGCTGTTTTCTGAGCCTAGAGCCAGGGCGCTTTCATTGCACGGCGGAGCTTCTTGTCTCAGGAAACACCGGGCATCGTTGCTGCCCCCTGAGGGGAGGGCGATTCTGGGCTGCATGATTGGGGGACTTTGTGGCTTTGGGTGGGTGGGAGGACGGACGGAGTCCGTGAAGCGGGGGTTGCCTGCCCTTGCTGGCTGCCTCTGCTTCCTTAGGGGTGGGGAAGGGGGCTCATCTGGACCAAGGGTGAGTCTCCCCGTCAGTTTCCCCTGAAGGATCTTCCATCGCTTTTGCCTTCTCTCTATGTCTTCCCTCTGTTAAAATCCCCCCACACACACACACACACTTATTTTCAGGCGGATAGATTTCGTGTCTGAGCATTCTCACATGACGGTGGGTCTTTCCCCCCCCCTAAAAACAGTTAAAAAAAGAAAAAACAATATATCCTCATGCAAGAACTTTTCTGCTTCCAATTACACCCATGCTTACAAGTTGCAAAGGAAACACGGAAGCAGGGAAGCGGCTGCCCAGCTCTGGAGCTCCACACCATTTTTTTTTCAGAGGGAATCTCACTCGAGTATAAGCCGAGGGGTTTTTTTTTTCAGCACAAAAAATGTGCTGAAAAACTCAGCTTATACTCGAATCAATAAGTTTTCCCAGTTTTTTGTGGCAAAATTAGGTGCCTCGGCTTATATTCGGGTCGACTTATACTCGAGTATATACGGTACTTAAGACCATGGAATCGGTTGAGGAGATTAAATAAGTTTGATCTCCGTCACTTAAATAATTTTTTAAAGTACTTGCTTTGGCTGGAGGAACTTTAAAACCTCTTAAGAAGTTGCCATCTAAGGCAGACAGTCTGTAAAACACATACAGTAAACTAGTGGGCAAAATTTTCCCTGAACTTCATATTTCTGGGCATTATTACACATAGTGAAATTCTCATATTTCTCTCCTTTTTAGTCTTTTTGAAGAAGACATTATGTCCTACATTCCTCTTCAATCAGCCTTCCATCCTGGCTACAGCTTTTCTCCCCGTTGTTCACCCTGTTCATCACCTCAGAATTCTCCAGGTAAAGGACTTGAGAGTGGATTCTGTGGCTAGATTTGTTTCCTATTATCCCTTCCAAAAATACAAAAAATAAAGAACACATACTGCCTTGTTTTTTAGATGTCCCTCTCTTCCCACCTCCATAGAAAAATATGATAAAAAGATATTTTTGCCAATATTTACTTTTCTTAAGACTGAACAATTTATTTCTGTTTCAAAGCAGATCAATAGCAGCCTATAAGACTTTGTCTAAAGCATAATATTTTGTACGCATTATAAATGAATATTTCAGTTTATATCTCATCTGAGGAATCCTCTTCTAAAAATGATGATTGACAGCTTTCACTTTCTTTCATACCTTTATGCACTGTTAATTTGCAAGAAAGAATGAATATTGTGGTGTTAGCTTCAAAGCAAATGAATACCTACAGCTAGAGTCATAATAGCTGAAAGCTTTCTTGTAATGGAGGACTTATTTGGGCATGGTAAGAAAATATTTTCAGTATAAAAAAATGCAAAACAAAATCTTGTCACCATAAAATAGTATTGTGTATATGTTTGCTAGTATAGCTTAATTTTTTTTCGATCTGGAATTTAAAAAATGCAATCAAGACACTATTCTTTGCATACAGAGAAATGTTTTCCAGAAGATGCAAGACTGAATTCCACACATTGTTACACAATTTCCAAAAATAGCTTCTCAGCATTATTTTCTTTCTTGCTCCATGTGAAATATTCTACAACAATATTTGAATCTGAATACCACCATAAATGGTGGTAAATCTAAGATGGATAAAATTAAGTACTTTGCCATATATAACATACTGTGTTTCTCCTGTGTTTATATTTTTGAGCCACCAAAAAAGGCCCCAGGTCTTATTTTAGGGGAGGTCTTTTTTAAAAATCGGGATGGGAGGCAGAGGAGCAGGGGTGAGCTGCCCCTTATGCCTCATGCCACCTTGCCTAATGATCTTACCAGCAACTTGGTCCATGAAACAGCTGATCTGCAGGTGCACTCCTGTCACCGGCTCCCAGAAGTGCAGCTGCTTTTTGCAGCCTCTATCTGCAGGTGCTGGGCTTATAGCTATGCTGAGCCCAGAGCTCTTCAGGGCCTGGCAGGTGTTGCAGCTCCCTTGCCAGCTGTACAAGGCAGGCAGGGGGCTGCCCCTGGTCACCTTCAGCATCTCCCTCACCAACAGTGGCTCTGCGGCCACCTCGCCTTCTGCCCAGCCCAGCCACTGCCAAGCCCCAGCTGCTCCCCAGCAGCCTTCACTACCTTCCACTGGAGCTACCTCACTCAGAGCCAGCAAGGGAGCTGCAGTGCTTGCCAGGGCCTGAAGAGCACCAGGCTTAGCATAGCTATAAGCCTGGTGCCTGCAGCACCGAATAGGCATGCAGGCCAGTGCTCAGCACCTTAAAGGCAGCAGCGGGCAAGGCAGAACAGACAGCATGGCTTCACTGGAGGCTACTTGTGAAGGGCCCCTGGCAGGTGGCAGTCTAGCAGGGTGGCCAAGAGCAGCACTGCCAGCAGGGCGAAGAGCCCCTGTGAGGCCAAGCAGCACCAGGGGAGCAGCTTGGCAGCCAGCATGGTGCCCGCCACAGCTGAGTAGGGTCCCAGCAATGGGTGAAAAGCACTCCACCAGGCAGGCACTGAAGCACTGCCATTGCACACACAATTCTTGGAACGCTACTGACTTCACCATTTAGACCCACCTGCAGTGAGAGAACAGCCCTCATGATATTTCACAATTTTTTTCCAGCTTTTTTTTTTTAATTTGAGTAAAAACGCTGACAACCGACGTTGATTTACCAGCTGCCCGTCAGTTGCAGGAGGTCCATTAACAGTGGGCCGCAGCAGCACAAAGGGCCAGAGCTCGATTCTGCCGCTAAAGCCTCTTCCAGCTGTCAAGAGGCAAGGCTTAAAAAGCTAACCTGAGTGAGAAGCACATTCTCAGGGGCAATCCCGCTAATCGGTGCTGATTTTTTTGAGCTTTTAACTGACTTTGGCTTCTTTCTGGCTCACACTGAGGCCTCCTTGGACAGCTGTCGCCATTGACTTGATTTTTTGAGCCAAAGCTTTTGACAGCCAGTGCCTTTTTGGCATTGCGCAGAAATGTTTTGACAAGAAAACTCTTTAATTTGGATCCTGATTTTACTGCCAAGGCTTTTTGACAGCTGGCACCACCTTGACAGCTCAATAGCTAGCACTGAGGCTTTTGGAAAGGCGGCACTCTTTTGAACCTTGGCAGTTCACGCTGAGGCTTTTTGACAGCCGGCGCCATCTTGGCAACTTGACAGTTTGTGCCCAGGCCTTTGACAGCTTTTAAAACTTTTTTGACAGCTATGCAATTTATCAAGGGAGCTCTATCGGCTGAGCGTTATTTTTAAATCTCTCAGCTGTGGCCAAGACAGCTTCCAGACTTTTTTTCCTATAGCTATTATCAGCAGTTTGTTGCCCTCATATTACAGCAGCCAAGAGTTTAAGCAGACTCCCCTGCATGCCAACCACCACAGTCTATTAGCCACATCCCACTTGGAAACACCTGTTTGCAGGTGTGCAATGGAAGGAGAGGGCTCTGTTGGTTCCAATGAGATAGGATCCAGAGCATCAGCCAGAAGAGCGATGTCTAAGGCCAAGGCCAAGGCCTCTTCTTCCAGAAAGTCTTCCGAGGCAGCAGAGAAAGATGAGAAATGGCACCAGAAGGCACCGGAGAAGCAGCTGGAGAAAAGCCTTTGAGAGGCTGAGAAAAACAGACAATCAGTCTCCCCAGCAGCTCCTCCTTCCCATCCCTTTTCAGTCCCTCTTTTGGACCTGTCAGTCTCTAACAGGGACAGAGACAACCTGGGAGCCCAACTTTGGTCACCAAGGGAAGCACCTGAGGCATTTCTACCTCAGGCCCCTGTGGCAGTTATCAACAGCAAAACTGCTCCAAACTTACTGTTTCCTCTCATGCCAGCAACAGAACAGGTGGAACAACAAACTAAGAGACCTAGTTTAGCATCTGAGGCTACCTTCACCCCAACTGCAGCGGGGCTATGCCCAGAGGAATTCCTATCTCCTGACATGCCCCCATCTATGAGGTTTTGGATGTTGGTGGCAATCAGGAAAGGCATTGTCGCGGGTGTACAACAGACCTGTCAGGAAAGGTCCCAGATGTCAGCCCCTTTTCCATACCGAGGCAACCTCAGCCCATGCAACATAGGGTGGACCTCCCTGACTTCCAGGTACCACCCCAAGCTGTGCACCAGATGGGGAACCTTCCAGAATTTCAAATGCCAATTCACCCCATGCAATACATGGGAGACCCCCTCTGAAGGTCAAGATCCTTATCCTCCAGTGTCATCCGAGGACACTGAATCCTCCCAGTCAGAAGAAGAGGGCCAGTTAGACAAGGATATGTCAGAGGATGAAGGGCTAGCTCCAGACCAGCCCACATTGTCAGGCCTGTTCTGTCTGCATCTTTTTTAAGTCCTTGTTGTTCAAGGCCAAAAACACTGCACGCCTTGGCAATTCTCCAGACGCACCAGACGCAGCAGTGACACCCGTGGAGTTGGATGACTTAATTTTCTTGGAACCAATTACAGAGGTGGATGTCATACCAGTTCCTAAGATGTTTGAGGACATGGTCCAATGACAGTGGACCTCCACAGTACCTATCCCAATCCTACTGGTTACGATAGAAAGTTTTACAATTTAGCTCCTGACCTGGCAGGGGTGTATCAGACACCATAGTAGATGAACCAGTAGTGGCCTTAGCAGCCTCCGCTGCTGCCACCCCCCCCCCCGCCCCACTGAAGTGAAGGATGCTTTAAGACTGGAGGATAAGAGGGTGCATCTAGCACTCTCTAAGGTGCACCAGGCGGATGTCTGGGCCATTAAGGCAGCTACAGACACATTCCTTTTCACCCAAACCTCCCTACGGTGGCTACACCATCTGCAGGAATCCATTCCTGCCACAAATATCAAGACATTGGAAAACTAGTGGCGGCTATAGAATTTTCAGCTGATGCAACTCTGAAAGCGGCAAAATTCTCCTCCAGAGCCAAAGCTTCTCAGGTCACAGCCCACCATCTGCTATGGCTCCACCATTGGCAGGCAGATACCAAAAACATAAATGGAAGATGGTCACTGCCCCCTTTGATGAGAACAAGCTGTTTGGATCCGCTTTGGATCCCATCCTGGTAGAGGCACAGGACAGAAAGAAAGACTTGCCATCCCTTTCTCGGCGGTTTGATTACCCTCCCACCCAGTCCTTTCAACCCTCCTACCAGGGAAACAATTTTCAAAAATCCCAAAGGTCCTTTGGCTTTCATCAGGGCCAACAATTTGACAGGGCAGGTTTCCGAGATAGGAACAAGCAAGTATCCCAAGCTAAGCAGTCCTTTTGTGGCATGAGGAGCAAATCCTTTCATTGTCCCAAATGCCAACCCAACCCTCCCATTGAAGGCCGGTTGGCCCTTTTTGCAAACCAGTGGAAAATGACCATCTGAGATGCCTGGGTCTGAGAGACCATAAGATCAAGTCTCTGGAGTTTCTCTTCACACCCTCGAACATCTGTTTGCAATGTCCCGTCTCAAGGGATCCCTCAAAGAGGACGCTCAAGGAGACCGATCCAGCACTTGCTGGAGATCCATGCCATTCATCTGGTCCCAGTGGATCAACATGGGCAGGGGTTCTATTCCCTCTTCCTTGTGGTTCCAAAGAGTTTGGGGGGTGGGAGTGGAGGGCAAATCTAGACCTGAAGCATCTGAACCGCTTTCTAGTTTACAGGAAGTTCAAGATGGGCTCCATGCAATTGATTGTCCTGGATATCAGGCAGGAAGAACTCTTGATCTCCATGGATCTGACCAAAGTGTACCTGCATAATCCTATAAGACCTATGCACAGAAGATTCCTGTGGTTTTATTATGCCAACCACCATTATGAGTATGGGGCCCTACCATTTGGCCTGGCTTCGGTTCCCTGAATCTTTACAAAGGTTCTGGCAGTCTTAGTGGCATATCTCAGGAGCATGCCGGTTTGCCTGCAATGTTACTTAGACGACATTTTGATACAATCCTCGTCTCCAGAAGGCAGAGATAGATCTGCAAACTATGCTTCAAGACCTTTGGGACCATGGCTTCTCAGTCAATCTGGACAAAAGCCATCTAATGCCTATAACTCATCTTCTGCACCTGGGTACCATAATAGATATGGTGAGTTTTTCCTCTGGCCAGACTGCCAGGTCAGCATCAGGGACTTGTCCAATCGCATTCGGACTGTGTGCCCCTGGCCCAGTTATCTCAACTTCTGGGAAAAATTATTTCCTGTATTGCAGTAGTCCTTTAGACCCACTTCCATGTCAGGACTTTGCAATGGTTTCTGCTCCCATTCCAGAGATCCGGCAGGAACAACTCTATGGCCAAGGTCTTGGTACCACTGAAGGTTCTTCTATTGCTCCAATTGTGGACTTTCAAGATCATCACCAGGGGCTGTCCCTTCACAGAGCCACATCAATTGACAATTACTACTGATGTAATTTTTGCCTGAGAGGCTCATTGCCAGTCCCTAGAGGCCCAGGGTCACTGGTCACCAGCAGACCTAACTCACAACATCAATTGGCTGGAACTCAGGGCAGCTCACCTGGCCCTCTGCAAGTTCCAGAATGAGGTCCAGGGGCAGCAAGTCCTTCTTCTTACAGACAGTGTGGCCACCAAGGCCCACATAAATCAGCAAGCATTCAAAGTCCCTCATAGTGGAGGCAAAACAGCTTTGCTGCTGGACAGAGAGGTATCTCCACTCCAGACAGAGCATATCTCAGGACTGATCAATATTCAAGAAGACTGGTTTAGCAGGACCACTGTTGACCATTCTGAGTGGCGCCTGCACCCGAGCCTCTTCTGGGAGATGTTGAATCGTTGCGGCCAGCTGGTCCTAGACCTCTTTGCCTCGCCACTCAATGCCCAATTGCTGAGATTCTATTCAAGATTCCCAGCTTCTCCAGGGCCTCCTCTATACCTTCACTCCCCTCCCTCTGATACCCAAGGTAATCATGAAAATGTTAGAGGAGAGGACGGAAATTCTTCTTTTGGCACCATACTGGCCGAGATGCCCATGGTTTGCACACCTCATGGACCTCTCAATTGCTGACCCCTGGAGAATTCTGCCACAACAGGGTCTCTCTCTATAAGGGCCCCATAGAACATCCAGGGCCGCAGTGGCTCCACTTGGCTGTCTGGCACTTAAGTGGAGACTTCTGAAAGGCAAGGAATTTTCCCAACAAGGTTATCAAGACTATCCAGGCCACTAGACATCTGTCCACTAATCGCATTTATAATACCACTTAGAAGAACTTCTGCAAGTGGTGTGACAGGATGAAGATAGACCCCATCTCTGCAATGGTGGCAAACATACTGGATTTTCTCCAGGAGGGATTGGACAAGGGACTGTTCCCGAATACTCTACGTAGGCAGTTGGCAGCTCTAACTTCAGTCCTCTCCTGCTGGGATCTACAGTCTCTCGCACATCACCCGAAAGCACATCGTTTCCTCCAAGGGGCTACTAATTTAAGACCTCCAGTGGTCCATAGATACCCCACCTGGGATCTAAACAAGATTCTCAAAGCGCTCACCAAAGTACCATTTGAACCCCTGAGAACTACCAGCCTCCACCTTCTCACCTACTAGGTAGTCTTCCTGGTGGCTATAACTGCCACAAGGAGAATATCAGAGCTGGCCACTCTGTCAGTGAGGGAGGACCTATGTGTCTTCCACTCTGATAGGGGGGTTCACTGTTTAGACCTGGCTTTCATCCCAAAATCAATTCCTCATTCCATCATGCACAGGAGTTGATTCTCCCCAACTTCTGCCCAAGGCCGGTTCATGCCTTAGAGAGACAATAGCATTCCTTAGACATGTGAAGGGCCTCTGCATTTATATTAACAGAACTGTTTGCCACAGAAAGACAGAGGCCCTCTTTGTCTCATTCCAGCCATCCACGCTGGGGAGGAAAGTCACAACTTCGACGGTGGGCAGGTGGTTTTGGGCTATGATTACAAAGTCATATGAACTGCAGACCTTACCGGTGCCCAGAAGAATCACGGCACACTCCACCAGGAGTGCGGCCATATCAGCAGCTTGGGTGACACAAGCCTGTATAAAAGAAATTTGTAGGGTGGTGAAGTGGTTGTCACCATCACCCTTCATCAGACATTACCGACTGGATACCTTTGCCTCGGCAGAGGCTGACTTTGGCAGGCATGTCCAACAGAGAATTCATATAGTGATGGAGACTCCAAATCAGACAGAGACCCTCCCGTAGGACACACCAGTTTGGGTATGTCCTTGGCCTGGATGCTTGGAACAGCTCACTGGAGAAGGGGCGTTGGTTCTTACCTGATACACCCATTCTCTGGGAGCTGTGATGAGCATCCAGTCTGGTTCTGGTCTTGGTCAAGAACTAAGAGAGCAACGGTGAAGGAAGAACAATAGTGTGACCTACTTTGACTTCGCCAAAACTGGGGACAAGTGTCAAGGAGGCGAGTCCTCAGAACTTTGCTCAGCCTATCGAACAGCAAGATGGAGGCGTTACTCTGGCCTAGATGCTCGTCACAGCTCCCATAGAATGGGCGTATCAGGTAAGAACCAATGCCCCTTTTCACAAAAGCTTATCTACATCCTTATCTACAACCTGTTGATTACATGAAACCTTCTAAACAGCTGAATGATACCCATATGCTATAAATGTGAAATAAAAGGGTTTGCCTTTTAAATATAAAGATTATGCTAGGAGATCATTAATGTATCAGATCCATTATTAGCAACTATTAGTTCAAGCCAGTGGCTGCAAATTATAAGTTCTTTTTTTATGTTTGTACTCATCAGGCTTGCAGCGGGCCAGTGCAAGAGCACCTTCTCCTTACAGGAGAGACTTTGAAGCCAAGCTTCGCAACTTTTATCGAAAGCTAGAAGCAAAAGGATATGGGCAGGGCCCGGGTAAAATTAAGTGAGTATTTCTATAAAGGAATCCAGTTGGAGATAATTTCAGTTCTGTAAATCAGAAAAATACAAAGGAAGGTTAGCAAAATGTAAATACGATCTAAATGAAAATAGTGATCATTGTGAAGCCAGCATATAGTAAAACAAAAAAATCTGTTCTTTATGTAACTTGTGGTTGTATTTTTTGTGGAGAGCTAAGCAATATGTAATTTGAAAAAAATACAGATAAAAGCAGAGGCATTCTTTGAGAACAAAGAATAGGTAGACAGGGTGTGAGCCCCTTCTTTGGTTGGGCTTACCAGGGAGATGAAACCCTCCAAATCTTATCTCTCCTGGCCAGGCACAAATTTTCCAAGGAGTTTCAGGTTGACTCCATGTCATTCCTTTCCTAATCCAAGACTAAATAAGCTACAGACCAGCTCCTCACCACCAAACCAGCCATTTGTCTAGTAGGCTAAGCAATGCATTGCTAGTCCAGAACACCATTTTCTGAGTGAACAAGAGCTAAATAAACATTTCTTGAGAATTATGATCAGTTCTTTTGAATTTAGCCAATACCCAATCACAAAAAACAGCTTTAATGTTAGGCAATCATGAGAAATAAAACTTCAGAAGATATAATAAAGGTTTATACATATTACAATACTTGAGTAAATAAAATTATTGACACTAAAATGTAAATAAATGTTCAGCTTATTAATATAGTAATAATGTTCCAAAGCTAAGTTATCATCACTAAAAATCTCTTTTGTGATTATTTAACAGCATAGTTCTAACAAGGTTTTATAATTTTGTAATTATAATTCTGTGCTGATAGACTGTTTAACTTGATTTTATTTACAAAGAACCGATGGATCAAATTGTATGCCAAAACTGTTTCAACAATATTGAAGCAACTTATTGCAGAAGAAACTTTACACTTAATTAATTACTGTAATAACAATAATTGAATAATCCAATTTACATAATTACTTCTCATTCATCCCATTCTAGATTAATAATAAGGCGTGACCACTTGCTGGAAGGCACTTTTAATCAGGTGATGGCTTACTCACGGAAGGAGCTCCAAAGAAATAAACTCTATGTTACATTTGTTGGGGAAGAAGGGTAAGAAGTCACAAAATGTGGCTAAAAAGCCTGCTTTCTGTTATTTTATATGGAATGAACTTCCAATGGAAGTTATACTAAATAACTGGCAAGGAATTAAATCCAATTAGTGCATTTTTAGCATAATAATATCATTGCATTATGGTAGAAAAGGTCAGGATGGATTAATCAAAAGAGATACCTTAATCTCATCACATAAAACAAATATAAAATTCTTACAATAACAACTATCTTCCTTAATTATTTCAAATGAAGGACAGTAAATACGGATATAAATAATTGGTATGAGTCCAGCCCATATAAGTAGCATCTTACAGAACCTGCCAGTAATTGCATAGTCAGTAAGAATTTACAAGTGAATTAACGACCCCTTGGTATGATTTATTCAAAGATTTATAATTGAATTAACAACTCGTTGAACTCCTTGACTGTTTAAGAGGTAAATTTTATATTTTTGCTAAGGAATTTGTTCTAATATTTAAATGATTCTGCTTATTATTAAATGAAGGATCTTTATTAATTTGAATCAGGCTAAAATTATGCTAATAATGAAAGAATAACAGTTGGTAGGAATTTATATAATTATATATGATGTATGTATACAATTATAATATATATTACATTTGGGCAAATCATTCTAGGAAATAATTATTTGTCAGTTGTCTCAGAGGAAGGGCCTTGAAAGCACAAAGCACAAAATAGTTCACATTCTTGACATTTGTTGACAGACCAGTGGTATTATAAGTGACATGTCATTTTTTTCAGATAAATGAAAATACCATTTAATATAAGGATGTAAAATAATCAAGAATAAATAATTATGTAGAGATAAAAAGCAATAAATTATGGAAGAATTCAAAATAACATCTCCAAGTAAACATAACAAATGTTGAGTGGTATTTGTTTTCTGTATGTTTATAATAATTTTTCATTATTGATAACGTAACTATTTTTGCTGCTACCTACATTTCAGAGTTTTTTTTTATAATGCAGTGACTATTAAGAAAAAGATTTTGGAGGAGAGGGGTATCTCTTTGCTGACCCTCCCCACCCTTCCAGTAGGTCGAGGTAAAAAAATAGAGTTCAAAATAGTGATTTGGAAAATGTGAGTATATGAAATAAAACTTCATTTTAATCTGCATTTTAAACAACTTTATATTTACTTTGGATTTCAAAGCAATTTGGAAAGGTACCTTTACAGCATCAATCCTCAATCAAAATTAAAATCCATTCACAAAACCTCTATAAAATGTCTATCTGCTTAACATGGATAAAGTGGCAGCACCAACTATTTGTCATGAAACATGTCTGATTAATAAAAGGGTGCATTTTATGTGTTTTTTTCCCCCCAGCTTGGATTACAGTGGCCCATCCCGGGAATTCTTCTTCCTTCTTTCTCAGGAGCTTTTCAATCCTTATTATGGCCTGTTTGAGTATTCAGCCAATGATACTTACACTGTACAGATCAGCCCTATGTCAGCATTTGTAGAAAATCACCTGGAATGGTAAGCTTTTTAGTTAAGTACACATGTCATAGCAATTCTCATTTTTTTAAAAAATCAAATAAACTATGCATTTTTTATTCTTAAGTGTAATATTTTATAAATTACAATGTCATCTTCCTTCATATGAGATTCTGTCACAATGTTAGACCTACAATAAGACAGCTAAAACAGAATGCTAGAGTCTCAAGTCTTAACAAAACCTTGGGGAGATAATTAATTAATCAAACTTAATTATTAATATAAGAGCCAGATTTAATCATGATAGAATTATTTTAATGAAAGAAATACAATAAAGTACAATCTAGTAGCATATTTGACAGACAGAAAAGCTACAGTGATAGATCTGGTTGAAGGCTTCAGAAGAAGTGGAAAGACAAGAAAATAAGGAACAGTGCACCACAATTACATTGTTTATATTTTTATATTTTATTATATTATAATAACTGATTTTTCATCCTCCAGGAAACTTCTTCTTAGATACGCTAGACCAGTGGTTCCCAAACTTTTTAAGTCCACTACCCCCTTGGTGCTACAAACTCATCCTCGGTGCCCCCCACCCAGGGGTGGGATTCAAATTTATGTGGGCATGGCCTAATTTGGGGTGTGTGGCTTGCTGGTCATGTGACTGGGTGGATGTGGCTTGCTGGTCATGTGACTGGGTGAGCGTGGCCAAGTGATTGGCAAACCAAATACAGGTGGTCCTCACTTAATGGCCAGTTGTTTAGCAAGTGTTCTAATTTATGACTGGCTTTCCCAGAGCTACTTGACCTGTTTTTGAAGTTTTGACAGCTTTAGATCAGGGGTCTAAATCCCACCCCTGCCTGTGTGTGAGAGAGAGAGGGAGAGAGAGAGGCTGGATCAAATCTCTCTCTCTCTCCCACCAACGCCAGAAAGCCACTGTCAGTCAAAATTCATATTAGTGATCTCTGGGATTTAAAATTATGAGTTTGGTGGTCCCGGAGGTCCAAAGGTTTGGCAACCCCTGATCTAAAGGGGTGAGCCTGACAGAGGGAAAGGGAGAGAGAAAAGAAAGAGAGAGAGAAAGAGAGAAGGAAAAGAAAGAGAAAAGGGAAAGAAAGAAAAAGGGACAAAGAAAGGGGGATGGAAGGAAAGGACAGAAAGAAAAAGAAATAAAGAAGGAGGGAGGGAGGAGAAAGATAATGAGATATCTATTCTAGTCCAATCACCTGCTACAGCAGGGTTAGAAGGGTATGTGTGTGTATGTGTGTTTTCTCCTTGTAATTTACCAGTACATTTTGGTTTTGCCTTCTTCAGAATTGGCACTGTAATACATTGGGGGAAAGTCATTTTTAGGGTGGAGATCTGGTCCAATGGATCCTGTTTAAATCGTCAACAAAATGTGAGAGCTTCCTTATAGTCTTGACCATGTTTTGTCCACAAAACCTTTAATAGAAGCCAAAGAGGTTTCAATGCTGAAAAGGGCCTCAGTCTAAACTAAGCCTCATTCAATCTGATGCATCAGGTGTCTCTTTCTCTCTCTCTCTCCCTCCCTCCCTCCTTCCCTCCCTCCCAGACTGGCTTTGCTCTATTTTCCCAATGTTCCTGTGGGGCCAGTGCTTTGAACATGGATGGATGGAGAGAGAGAGAGAGAGGGAGGGAGGCAGGCAGGCAGGCAGATAGAAAGATATATTGGTAGATAGGTAGGTAGGTAGGTAGGTGGCAGGCAGGCAGGAAGACAGACAGACCTTTTGGATGGATGGATAGGTAGATAGGTAGGTAGATAGATAGGTAGATAGTTAAATAGATAGATCTATATTGGTAGGTAGGTAGGTAGACAGAAAGGCAGACAGTTAGGTAGGTAGGCAGAAAGGCAGGCAGGCAAACAGACAGACCTTTTGGATGGATGGATGGATGGACAGACAGAATGCGACAGCGGCGGCACTTTGGGAAAGCGGTGGCGGCGGTTTTTCCCAATGTGCCGCCGCATTCGAGGTGCTGGTTCCGGTGCGGTACAACAGTCAATGGGGTGAGCCTGCAGGACTGAAGTCTGAAACGTTCCCCTGCTGCCTCTTAGCGCCCCTCTGCTGGCCCCCTTGGGGATGCTAAGAGGTGGCAGAGGAGCGGCATGCCGAACGCAGCCGCAGCGGCACATAACGTGCTACCGCTTCCGCATTGGAGGCGCTGGCTCCGGAGCGTTACTATAGTCAATGGGTGAACCTGCAGGGCTGGCACCTTGAATGCCTCCCTGCCACCTCTTAGCATCCCCAAGGGGGCCAGCAGAGGGGCACTAAGAGACGGCGGGGGCATCACGTCGAACGCGGCTGTGACGGCACGTAACGTGCTGCCACTTCTGCATTAGAGGCGCTGGCTCCGGAGCGGTGCTAGTCAATGGATGAACATGCAGGGCCGACTCCTCGAATGCCCCCCTGCTGCCTCTTAGCACCCCCCTAAGGCATCCCACCACCCGCAGGGGGCGGTACCACCCACTTTGGGAACTACTACACTACACACTCAAATTCTCAAGAAAGAGAATTTGTTCCTTTGGACTTAGAGAGTATTTGGGGGAATTAAAGACAAAAGTGTTTAGTAAAATTATAAAGGTTTTTTTTTTCCTGTTTAACTTTTTTCTAGCTATTTTTAATATTATTGATATCGTACACAGTTATATATAAAATAGTGTTAAAAGTTTTTTTTTAAGTGTCGAGCCACTTTATCCCCCTTTCACTTTTCAAACTGCTTTTCCGGCCGCTTATCTCCAGCTTCCCCCACTGTTACTCACAGTGAAACAGGGAGAATCAGACCGATCTCTCTCGTGGCTTTGTAGTCCTTCTGCCCTTTTCCGCTCAGACCTTTCAGGCAGTCACTTTTTGCTTCATCAGTTCAGTGGCAGACCGGACTTTGGAGCCGCCATTAGCTGGCAGCTGGCTCAATCGCGCTGGTCTCAGAGGCTCTTCCTTCGTTGCTGGGGAGTTGCCTACTCCCAAACAGCAACCCGGGGGTCCTCTATTCAGACACGAAGCTCTACGGGTTTCGTGTATCCACTGGGGATCCCTCCAAACGCGAGAAAAGGTGTTCGAAAGCCCCAGCTGGGCTTCTCCACCTCTGGACGTCCCTGTCCTGCCACTTCCGGTCTCCTCCGGAAAGTGTGGATTGGAGCGTTGCCGAGGAGAGAAAAAGGCGGTGGGAACTCAAGAAGCTCAGGAGTGGATTGCCATCTCGGATCTGCGCGTGAGAAGGCTAGAAGATTAGGAGAGGATTTTAGCTGCGAAGGAGGACAGAGCGAGAGGTAGAGAGCCAGAAAAAGACGTACTGACTTTTATATGCAAGATCCTTTCCTTTTAGCATTACTGCCTACAAAACTGATTTTTAAAGTGATCGATCTGAGGCAGATACCCAAAGTGACTGTGGATTGACAATTGCTGGCAGGAGGGAAGAAGAAGAAGGAAGAGACAGACGGAAGCCTGGCCAAGACTGATCGCTGATTGCTGACAGCAATTAGTCAGCACTTCCTCCCCCTGCTTCCTTGGTGCGCCCAGGAGGAGAGACGCTAAGACTAAAACGCCAACCCCAACTCAGATTTGTTTTTCTATGGAACTAATTCTACAGATACGTGCTTTGTGATTCCCTAAAATTGAGAAGACCCCTTTCTTCCTGCATTCTTTCTCTCTCTCCCTTTCTCTTTGTTCTTTCCTTTTTTTCTATAATAGTTAAGTATAAAGGCAAACTGCTTGTTACAGTTATTAAGATTTACAGATTAGACTCTCTTGGATATATAAAAATTTTTAAGGACTGTTAATAGGGTTGTCTCAGATAAAATGGAATCTTAAATATTAATATACACTATAGGACAAAAGTATATATAGTATATATAGAGTGAGATATTCTAGAGTTGGTTGTATGCTTTAAACAAGTATGATTTATTAGGGGTAAAATACAATTAACTCCGGTATTTGAATTTAATATAGAGAATAATACATAATACATCGAATGGTGATTTGGGATAACATTCTTAACATAGTCCAATTGCAAAAACAAATTTTATCAGAGATGACTTCCACAACAACCACGGCCCTGAAAACAGGAAGGAAGAACAACCAGACCTTGATGACAACTCGGGCAACTGCCTCCCCAACAACGCAGAAAACTATAGAAGAGACTTTGGTAGGAGAAAAACAACCGACTGTTACTAATGCCAACCTACAAGCGTCATTATTATCCCTGCAAGAATTTATGCAAGAATCAATGTCTAGAATGCAGGAGATTATGATTAGGAATCATAATGAGACCAGAGCAGATATTAGCGAACTGAAAGAAGAAATGAGTAAATTAAAAGAGGAGATGAGAGTAGATATACAGAGAGTTGAAGATAGGGTCGGGACAATGCAATTGGCAATGGAAAGAACTGAATTAAAAATAAAAGAAATAGAGAAGAGGACAGAACAAGCGGAGAGAAACCTGGAAAGGACTGAGGAAGATTTTAAAAATGTAAATAGAGAAATGGAAGATTCCTTGGTCCAACTTGAGATGGACAGAGCAGCTGCATACTTAAGGTTCCAAAACGTGGAGGAATCCAAAAATGAAGAATTAGAACATTTAATGGCAGGTTTGTTGGCTGAACTACTTGGAAAAGAGAAGGATGACTTACTCAAGGAATTTGATGAAATATATAGGGTGAACACCAGTTATGTAAGGCGTCACAATTGCCCAAGGGAGATCCATATCCGCTTTTCAAGAAGATGCATGAGAGACCTAATACATAGAAAGGCCAGAGATGAGAGAATATTATATAAGGGCAAAGAGATCATAATTCTCAAGCAGATTCCAAGAAAAGTGAGGGCCATAAGGCAAGAATATAAATTTTTAGCCAATTACTTAAATAAAAATGAAATCTCATTTAAATGGCTAATCCCAGAAGGGATGCTAATATCGTGGAAGGGAAGAAAAATTAAAATAGATTCAATAGAACAAGCACAAAACTTCCTAGAACAGCTAACAACCACGGAGGATCAACTCACTAGGGAGAAAATCCAAAGGAATAT